AAAATACAGAAACTAAAATACATCGAAAGGAAAAAGGGATTATCATCAAATCAATGAGAGAGAGGATCAACAAGGATATACTACTATGGACCATCAGTGACTTCCCAGACTATGCAATGTTGTCGGGTTAGAGCATGCATGGCAAGTTAGCCTACCCGTATTGCATGGACGAGGTGGATTCGTTCCAGTTAAAAAAATTGGAGGGAAATCTTGTTGGTTTGATTGTCATCGGAGATGGTTACCAAGAACACATCCCTTTTTCGTCGTGATAAAAAAGGATTCATGGCATGTAACAGGGTGTTAGCCAGTCCACCACCTGAGGTAACCGGTGAAGAGATTTGAGAGTTCATCCGTCACCTTCCAACTGTTTATGAGGGTTGCCCGTATAATTAAAAAGATAGAAGAATTAGCGGGTTTGAAACCACTCATAGTTGAGTAAAGAGAAGCATTTTTTGGGAATTACCATATTGGAAGAGGTTTTTGATCCGACACAACCTCAATGTCAGGCATATTGAGAATAACGTTTTTGAGAATCTCTTTAACACTGTCATGGATACGTCGAAAACTAAAGACAACGTAAAGGCGAATAGGAAGTAAAGATTCATTGCGATCGACGGGATTTATACATTGTCATGTCAGACAACAAAGTAGTGAAACCGAAGTCATCGTGCAGTTTGAGCAAACAACAAGTAAAACAAATGTGTGCATGGTTGAAGAAGTTGAAGTTTCCAAACGTGTATGCTTTGAATATAGGAAGTCGTGTTAACTTGGAAGACTAGCTTTTATAGCTTCATTTGTCATGATTGCCATATGTTTATACAATAATTGCTTCCTATTACTTGACGAAGAATGATACTAACTTTGGTATGGGATGCAATAACAGAGTTGGCACATTCTTTCATGTGATATGTTCAAGGTGTAACACCCACAAATCCACACATTGCATATAACACATATTTTATATATATAATACATGTTTTCCCACATAGGTCCATAATACAAGAGTTTATAATGTACAATCCATAGATCAAAAATTTCAAAAGTACATGCTTCTTATATCTTGACATCTAGTCTTCCAAATATGGCTAATCAAGATCTTCATATTGCAAAACACATAGGGAAGTAATTCACATAATGCTTTTTCCCTTATTCTCATTATCTGCACATATATTTTTGAAAACACAAAATGAGGGTTAGACATGAATGTCTAGCGAGGTTCCCTATTTATGTAATGTAGGGTGAAATTCACCAAAACATTTATTTTAAATAATCCATCTTATGAAGACTGAAAATCATATTCTGTTTTGGTTCATCGGGCCTCTGGTTCTAAACCATACTTGGAATATATTTCAATAAACAGGACCAGAGCCCCTCTGGTCCGTCTATCAGAGCTTCTATTGTCTCGACCAGAGCCTCTGGTTGTACTAACCAGAGCTTCTGGCTCATATAATTCCTTGTAATGTTCTTGAGTTAAGTTTTCCAACCAATAAGATAGTCTTTTTCACAAAAGAATAACTATCAGAGCTTCTATTTTCTCGACCAGAGCCTCTGGTTGTACTAACCAGAGCTTCTGGTTCAAAAGTTATGACCAACCAGAGCCTCTGGTTCAACGTATGAGTCGACCGAAGCCCTTCTGGTCAGTTTTTTTTTGTATAAAACACTAAGTATAAAATTCCTTTTTCTTAAAACTTCTTTAAAATAT